CTGCAGCTCTGAAAATACAATTATTGCAATAAATGCTGCTGATGTCCCTGCAGCTCTGAGCACAGAATTATTGCAATAAATGCTGCTGATGTCCCTGCAGCTCTCAGACTGAATTATTGCAGAAATGCTGCAGCTCTGAGCACAGAATTATTGCAATAAATGCTGCTGATGTCCCTGCAGCTCTGAATTATTGCAGAAATGCTGCTCCTGTCCCTGCAGCTCTGAATTATTGCAGAAATGCTGCTGATGTCCCTGCAGCTCTGAAAATACAATTATTGCAGAAATGCTGCTGATGTCCCTGCAGCTCTGAATTATTGCAGAAATGCTGCTCCTGTCCCTGCAGCTCTGAGACAGAATTATTGCAGAAATGCTGCAGCTCTGAGAATACAATTATTGCAGAAATGCTGCAGCTCTGAGCACAGAATTATTGCAGAAATGCTGCTCCAGTCCCTGCAGCTCTGAGATTGAAGGGTTTCCCCACTGCAGGGTGAGATCCTGATCCTCCTGTGCCAATCCTGGAGGGCTCAGCTGGGTTTGGAAAGGTTTTGCCACCTTTGGATTTGGAAAGGAGGGTGTCTGATCACAGCTGAGCTCTCTCTGWGCTCCCACAGCTCCCTGGATCCCTCTCCTGCTGGAATGGAGCTGGGATTAATGAACAGTCAGACACAGAGCTGGGGAGGGGGTGGATCTGGGGTCACCTTTGGGGTCAGGAGGGGACTTTGGGGTGTCCAGAGGGGAAAATGAGGAGAGAAAAGCTCCTGAAAGCAGCAGCAGAGGGGAGCAGGATGGGGAGGGGGTGCCATGGCCAGGAGAGGGTGGGTGCCATGGCCAGGCTGGGTTTTGGAGTTTTGGAGGGGATGATGTGATGTCCCTGTCACCGCTCTGTCCCTGTGTCAAAACCAGTGSCGTGGTTTTTGCAAACATTCCGTGATCAGATGGAGCTTTGCTGCACCAAATCCTCATCCTGAGTGCTCTCACAGGGTGTTGGTAACGCACAGCTCAGGCTGGGTTTTGGACAGGGTTTTTTTTTTTTTAATTTTTAACCCTCCTGCAGCTCACAGCCACCACCAAAACGTGACAATCCCTTTTTTTTCTCAGCGTGTCCCACTCGTGTGACCCTCCCAGAGTTGGGGGCAGAGCCAGGTTGCACAAAACCCCAGCAAAGGCTTTTCCAGGTCCTGGGGCTGCTTTTTGTGTGCTYTGCAAGGAGCCTGTGCTGTGGGAGGAGTGTGGAATCCCAGCSTTCCTGCCATCCTGAACAATTCCCACATCCCACGAGAACTCCAAGGGCAGCAAACAAATCCTGGTTCTCCTTGTGAAACCTCTGCTGTGTTTTACAGCTCAGCCAGGAAGAGTTTTTGCCTTTTCTGATGAAAGCAGCAGAGCTGCCCCATGTCCTGGTGGAAGGTGCTGCTTTCCTGCAGCTTCCTCAGAGTGAAATTCTGCATTTGGAGCAGCCTGGGATGGATCTCCTGGATTTTCCACCATCAGAGCAGGAGGTGGTTGGAATTTGCTGAGAGCAGAGCGTTCCCCTGGCTGTGTGTGGGAAGGGGAGGTTGTGTCCTCTCCTCTTTCGCTCTGGAGGCTGATTTGCTCTGGGGAAGCTGCAGAACTGAGTAATTCCTTCTCTGGTGGCTGCTCAGGGTGTTTTCCTC